CGGCTTCCCGGCCAATCAGAAAGCCAGGCAGCGTGTAATGAAGCGATGCCTGGCTTCCCGAATGGTCGGATGCTGGCCAATCAGGAAGCCAGGCACCGTGTAATGACACGGCGCCTGACTTTCTAATTGGTCGGGAAGCCAGGTGTCCGTGTCTATAGGTCAGAATGTGACGGGTGCAGTTTAGGTATATGAAAGTACAGGTTTTTAGTGTTCACATGAGCCTGTGCTTTGCCCTGCAGGTTTACATTAATGCTGGCCCCCGCAGCATCTAATACTTGTCTTCTCTGCTAATCTGTTCCTACATCGGTAAAGTCCAAGCTTATCCAAGACCTCACTGTTGAATGTCTTCAAAATACACGCTGGCAAGAACAAGTCATTTCTACTACTAGTAAAACATACTTCCTAATCCAAATATAAATGTGCTATTTACAATATCACAAATGCCTTCACAGTATAACTGTATTTTTACTTTGCTTATAATCTACAGTATATTGTAATACACAGTAGGGGGCTTTATAGTGTAGGTGAAAGGCATGCCTTGTGAAATGTACATTGTAACATACAGTATAAAAGAATATTAGAGGACATTAGGTAAATCTTTATCAAGTCTGTGATGTATTCATTTTGAATAAATAAAACATGCTGTTACAGTGCTTTTCATATAGAAGGCAAAATTATTTTGGAAGTGTGTGTCTGACTCCTGGCTGGAAGGCAGTGCCTATTCAGCAGCCACTCCATAACACGACATGTATATTTTATGCTTTCATGCACTACTGCCTTGCATTAATACAGTTCTCAGCTGTGTACAAGTCATTCCCTATTTTTAATCAAACTGCTCCGTTTCAACACTCACCTTGGAACAGAAGGCTACAGCAGGAGTTAATCCACTTGTAATGCCCAAACCCAGTAAAATGTAAACAAATCCTATGGAATATGAATAGAGAACCTGAAAAAAATGAGGATTGCAAACAGTGTTCACAGAAGCTTGAAATCGAGCATAAAAATTGGATTTTTGTACTTACTGTAATATCCATTTCTTTGAGTTCATTAAGAGGCACAGAAATTCAGAAACCTTTGGGTTATACTGCTGTCCATTGCTCCTACTCCAAGCCCACCTCGGTTTGGTGGAAAACAGTACCAAAAACATGATCAAGGCAGACCGGTGTCCATCAACGAACTCCAAAAAATGAATATTATGCTTTTCATTTCTGTTCTCTGTACACGATATTTAGAACTGCAGGCACCACAAAAGTGCCAGCATTTTAGCATTTTAACTATTGTTATCATGGAAACAACTTAAGACAAGATCAGGAGCACAATAAAGTCTTTCTACGCTCTGTATCTCCACTGACGTTTTTTAGTGTACTATCGTGCAAGACTACAATTAAATTTAAAATAAATTTTAATTACATGTTTAATTCAAATGGACTTAGACTGCGTTCACATCCAGGCGTCAGCGTTTTCGTGCGTATTAGCACACGTTTTGTTTAGCGTCTCGCCTCGCATGTATTGCACATTTTCACGCATGAAGATGGCATTTTAGGGAGCAGATTGAAATACATAGTTACATAGTATTTGAGGTTGAATAAAGACACGGATCCATCAAGTCCAACCTATAGCGTGTATGCATGTGAATCTACATGTGTACGAGTCCATGTGTCATCTTGTTCTTAAGTGTGCCTGTACCCCTGTATGTTACGGTCTCTGAGGAAATCGTCCAAATGCTTTTTGAATGATTCAACACTCTTAGCTGAAATCACTGCTTGTGGCAGAGAGTTCCAGATCCTAACCGCTCTTACTGAGAAGAAGCCCCTACACCCCTTGTGCTTAAATTTTTTATCCACCAATTTTAGGTGGTGGCCTCTAGTCTTTGTTATAGAGGTTACCGTAAAGAGTTTATTGCTGATGTTGCCATCACCACTAAACATTTTGTAAAAAACAAATCATATCCCCCTTAATCTCCTTACTTCCAGCGTGAACATGTTTAAATACATTGTGGCAAATGGACAAAACGCCTGCAAAAATGCACACAGGATTGTGCAAAATGCTTGTGTAACACGTTTCCAGGCTTTCAATTGAAGTCTAGGGGGCCAAACGCGCTGTAATCTGCCAAAAGAAAGCTCAGGTACTTTTTCCAGCGTTCTGCGTTTTACAGCTTACGACAAAAAACTCTCAGGTGTGAACAGGGGTCATTAAAATTAATGGGATTTCTCGTGTTGAGAGTTTTGTTGCACTTATTTTTGAGGGCCACAATTCCTAGGTGAGAACAGGGACTTAGATAAACTCATGCATGACTATTATCTGTTTTATCTGCCTAGGCGAAGTGGGATTTGAAAGATTTAAATGATCAGGTCAAGAAAAATTCTTCCCACATTGTAAAAGCAAGAGGCAAAAATCACAGTTTTTCAAAATGGTGCATCTTCTAAGAACATTTAAATCTGATGAATGAGCAAGGTTTGCTGCCAACCTTAGTATGGTGTCCTGTCTGGCCCGGAATTCTCTCATATATTTAAACTATGTGAATGACCGTTCTTATATCTGTAGAGATCCCTCATCCATCCCATTCGAAGATCCTACTACACTACAGCAAACTTTATGCAGCTCAGTGATGGTGTTTATGTCCTCTCTGGTCGATTGTTTATCATTTCTATAGATGAATAATTGGGAAATCCAGACACAAGACTGAAACACCCTTGTAGTTGCACCAGCAGCTAAGTGTGATCAGGATCCATGCGTCATCTGGTTACACACCTTAAAGACATGCAAGAGGCTGCTGTTTTTTCAACTTGCTGACTACTACATACATCTGATATAAACATTAGAGGAGACCTCACCTTTACAGAAATGTGTTAGAGGTAAGGGAAAAAAAAACAAAAAACAGCATGAATAATTATGGATTCTTTACCATTTCTGAATTTGATCCATTGTGTAGTTTCATGGCCTTTTCTTGCACATTTCCTATAACAGCATCTGCACAAAGTGCCATGGAGATGAGCATCACACCTTAAAACGATAATAACAACACAATTAAAAATAGTTTACATCTGCTCACACTGAAGCCTATTAACTGTTCACCATTAGATGAGGTATGATAATAAAAACTACATTAGCTCCTCAATCTAAAGTGATTCTACAGCACAACTGAAACAAAAAGCATCATCCCCTACTTGGGAAGTGCCTAAGCACCTAGCACTGCATATTCTGTTCTAATGTTATCTATGATTAAGCAGCAGCCCACCCAGCCTTTTGTGACCAGAGGTAATTGATGTGCCTAGACGACGAGGTCATGCGTCAGTTAACTTGATAATAACTGACTGATTTGCGTACTTTTATTTTTTTCAATAAAATAACATTTTTATTTTTTGTTAATAAAAACTCTACTCATTTATTATACGTGCAAAAATGTGTTTTAATTGTAATACTCTTATTGTATCTGACAATTACAGTTTTAAACAGATGAACACTACCACCTTCAAGCTCAGTGGCATCTGAAATGCCATCTGCAGGCTTATGGCAATAAGTTGCCAGTCACTTAAGACTCTGTAGTGATTGACCCTGGGTACCAAACAGCTTGATTTACAGCGTTAGGCTAGGAGTGGGCTTTGTGCAGCATCTGCCAAGAGCCATGCATCTCCCTGGCCTATATGTGCATCCACCCTCCCCCCACTCATGGATGGGTCAGGGGAAAAACATAAATATTAATAACATCGTCTGCAGAAGCCACTTTACCAGAAATATATTTTTGTTATTATTATTAAAGATCATATACTTAATTGACCACATTCAAAATTCTGCCAAAATATCCCACTAATTACAGAATAAATGCTTTCTCTCAATAAAGCATAGCTGAATTTTAAATGCTAATTCATGCCATCTCAAGTCGAAACACTGCATTGATAAGACATAATTTGTAGGCCTAAATACATAACCTTGTCTACATTTCAGCATGGAATAAATAACAGAAGCCCTCAACCAACAGGGGTTTATGATAAGAATATTTGTATGAGACAGCAGAAGAGTATGCTTTGTTTATACTAGCGGAATAGTTCAGCTTCCTTTAGGCAAAAATGTCATCTGAATAGATTTGTCCCTCACAATGTTCAAAGGAATCTGATTAAATTATGTAAGTAGAGCTTCAGCTGAAATCAGACTAGTTTATGTATCAATGTTCCTGAGAAATTTATGAGTAAAAGTCAAGTGAAGTCAATTTGGCATTTAGTAACTAGCATCCAAACTGCTTCCCTAAGGCAACTGCATCCTTAAGAATTTTTCATTTGAAAGTTAATATAAAATAGAGAAAGTAGCATGTTTTCTGAAAGCCTCAATGCCTCCAAGACTTTTGCTGGTTTATGCATTTACCCATGCATATGCTAGTGTCAATACTCATTTAACATATGTTACCTAATACACCGCCTTTGCAAAGAATAATATGTGGTAATAAACTGTACAATGTAGCTTTGCAGCTCTTTTCCCCCCTTTCATTGTCTGTTTCGCTATGTTTTATACACAAAGAAATACAGTATTTTGTACTACTACAACAGCAGCAAAAAATGTGTTTTCTACATTTATGGGTTGCACAACATTTAGGGTAAAAATCCCATTTTGGAGATCCCTTCATTCATATTGTGCTTTTCAGGAAACACATTTTGGTGACTTTTAAAATAGGTACATTTATAATCCTAGAAAAAAATGGCATATTGACAATTGGGGGCCTAAAAAACTGAGGTTTAAGGGTGCATTCACACCAAGATTGGAAGGAAAGCGCAAGTCAAGGGAGGGTTTGTTGACTTGCAATTGTACCTTCCGATCTGTTGCAATCAGTTTTTTAAACGCATGCTAAAGGGAAGGGCAATGAAAAATGAATGGGTGTGAATGGGGCTAGTTCACACTGGATCTGTTTTGCTGAAAAATAGAAGTGCATGTTCTACTTTTATTTCAGTGCAAAGTAACGTAATGCAACAGAACAGAACTAGCCCCATTCATTTTTGGTGCAAAAGAGAAACCTTATTAAAGTGCAGGTAAATGTTTACAAGAAAAATCCCTGCAGCCATTCTCCCTATCTCCCTCAATACAATCAGCCCCCCCTCACCCAAGTCTGTACTTTCAACTGCTGCAGCCTCCTGCATTGTCAGTGAAAACAGTGTCAGAGGGCAAAGTTCAGGTGGTGCTATTTGCAGTGGACCATTAATTAAACTTCTAACCATGGCTTTTAACTTGGAGCGTGGCCACGTTCCTTTTTACTAGTATTAACATTCAGTAGACCTGCATTGGGAGTACACATACTGCAGAAGCATACTCATTCAAGTCTATGTAAACAATGGTGGCCGCAGCCATCAGAGGAGATAAATATAACCCTCTGGAAGGATGCCAAAGCTGACTGTATTTAAATGACCTGGACAGGTTTTTTATGTAGAACTATAACTGGTCAGAAATAACCATCCTATTCATTTTCCACTGCAGGCATTGCTGAACTCTTTCATGTCAAAGATTTCTAAATAAGTAAGTGTTTATGTTATAACATGGATATGCAGACACAGAAAAAAATTCCTCATATGCATCATTCAATGCAGTAATGCGTAGACACAGACCTAACCATACTATAAAAAAAATGTTAATTGTTAGCATAAGAAAAAATGTATATATAGTAGGGCTGTTACTGATTAAAATTTTCGTGTTAATTAATCGAAAAATACAATTGTTATTGCAAGAAATCAATAGCTCCGTCGGCTAACGAAGGGAAGGGTGGAGGAGTCCGGTGACGTCACGGACATCAACGGACTCCTCCCCCCTTCCCTTCGCTAGCCGACGGAGCTACTTGGGGACATCGACGCCACCGGACTCCTCCCCCCTTCCCTTAGCCACTTGGGGAAGGACGTTGCTGTCCGTCACCGGATCTCCGACGGGACTACCGGAAGCCGGCGGAGAAATTAGTATTTTCATTAGCGATCAAACATTTTTTAAATCGATCAAAAAGATTAACGATTAATCGGTAATTAATCGTTAATTTGCACAGCCCTATTATTTATATAAATATATCTAAACTCCACATACAGTATTGTAATAATTGTTTGTCTGTTATTTCAGTAGTTTCTAGAAATTTCCTAACTGGGTCTGTTTTTGTATCAGATCTCCCTTGACTACAACTAGTAGTCTAAGGACTTGTTCACACCAAGCGCTGAGAAGGTGCAGAGCAGAGCAGTTGCAAACCGGATCAAAACTGCGTCAAACGTATTCCAATGGTATTTTTTGCTCCAGTTCACATTGCAGCGTGAAGTTCCAGAGCAGGTCCAGAGCTCTGGATCTGCTCTGGAACGCATGCAAACGCATCAAAAACGCATGCAAATGCCTGGAACACACTGAAAGCCCATGTTAAACTAAAAAAAAAAAGTTTTTTTTTTTTACCAAAAACGTCCCAAACGCATCAAAAACGCGGCACAACCCACTGCACTTCATGTGCAGAAACATGAGCGGATCTGCTCTGCATTTGGTGTGAACAAGGCCTAAAAGCATACAAACAACATTTTTTTACAAGTAATGCCTGGCATGGTCTTAAGCTTCTCTTGCCTTCCTGCATTACAGTAAGCAGTAACACCATTCGGTTGAATTGGGTCTCTTTTTTTCCTGCAGTTGAGTCTAATAGCATGTTCAGCAGTGTATGTGCAGTAAGCAGAACATGCAGTAGTCTATATTAACCAGTTGACATCCGCGGTGTTAAACCCCCTTCCCATCCAGGCCATTTTTCAGTATTCAGCGCTGCGGTACTTTGACTGACATTTATTCCGTCATGCAGCGCTGTACTGAAATGAATTTTATACCCTTTTTTGGGGACAGATAGAGCTTTCTTTTGGTGGTATTTATTCACCACTGGGGGTTTTATTTTTTTACTATATTAAGGAAAAATTACCGAAATTTAAAAAAAAAAACAGTTTCCCCTATATTAAATGATAAAACATTTATTATTACCCAATTTTTTGGTAAAATATAAAAGATGGGGTCACGTCGGGTAAAAAGACACTAAACATGTCAAGCCTTAAAATTGCGTGCGCGCGCGAAACCTCAAAAAACGATAATACCCAAAATTGGCCATAGGCGACGCTTTAAAAGCTGTTACCGCTCATCAGTTTAGTGTTATCAGTGATTGATGGCCCTAAAATGATTGCTCTCACTGCGACGTTCGCGGCGATATGTAACATGTGTAGCGCAATTGTAATTTTTGCGCGCTGGGGCACCGGACGCGTATTTACGTTTATAGGCGCGTAAACGTGGGGGTGGGGGAGTTAAACATTTTGGGGGGGTTTTTTCCCCTTTTTTTATATGTGGCTTTTATTTTATTTTATTTTTTTATGTGTTACTTTTCTTTTTTTTTATTTATATTTTTTTTTTTGCACTTATTGTTATTGCTATTATATAGGGGGATAACAACCCCCTATATAATAGCAAAGGCACACTGACAGGTCCTCTTTATGGAGATATTAGGGGTCTCTAGGACCCCTAATATCACCTATGGACCCCAAAAGAAGCTGATAAAGCAGAGATCTGCTTTATCAGCTTCTTCTCTCTCCAGATGACTGACAGGTGAATGCGGAAGTGATGTAACACACATCACTTCTGCATTCACAGCCCGGACGGGGATCAGCAAGGAGCTGATCTCCCGTCCTCCTCCTCCTGACGCCCTCCGAGCCGGTCCCGGGGGGGGGGGTGCCGCGAACGAGCACATATAGGCGATCGGCGGGCTATGGACCCGCCGATCGCCTATATGTGAAACACCCGGTAACGGGTGTGTGCATTTAGCGGGTCTTTTCTGCCCGTGCGTGCCCGCTAGGGGGCGCGCGCGAGCAGAAAAAAATTGCCGTCTGGAGACGGCAACCCGCAGATGCTGCAGTGCCGTCCGTCCGTTTTTTTACTACGGGCGGACGGCAAGAGGTTAACGTGCATGTCTTTACAGTTATTTGATAAACATCTCTATTCTGTACCAGTCTCTGGAAACCTCAAGTAGTCTATTGTAATGGGTTCCTCTTTCGGCTAATGTGTCAGTTTTGTAAGATGCAGCAGTAACTTTTGATATAAACATTCTCTGTAATGTGGCGTGAAGAAAGGGGAGGTTTTCGCTGGGCTATGCAGGTCACTTTGAGTTGCCAGGGCATATAGATTTAAAAAGTAAATTGTGCGGGTGTGTGTAACATCACAATCAACTGTAATGTGCAAAAGCCTCTGTACCATGGCAAACACTTGTCAGATGCACATATTATAAAAATGGTAACTGTACATGGACATTTTCGATGGATTTGGAATGAAGGCGTGTATACACTCAAACTGAGCTCAACCCCATCTAAAAGTGCTGTGTACTCTATCCTTTAATGTACAGCCCTTGTAGCACATCAGTAGTAAAAGTGGGATTCTCATAAGGTTGCACATACGAACTCTGCTGGTCAGATTGAGATGCAGGTATACTCCTTCTTAAAATGAAGTTTGTGTATTGGTGTCCAGCTCATGTTATATTGATAGGTAAAACTACAGACATAACCTTACCTGTTACATTGAATTTCGGTGCAATTGTGCTATCAGCCAGTGTAAACCATATGAGGCCCATGCTCATGCATACAGCTGCTGTCACATCTGCAGCATTATACCGCTTTCCTGTAGGTACAAAAAAGTAAAACATAGAATAGTAGACTTTTCTGCTATACATTATCCCCCCCCCCCCCAACTTATTT